GTGATAGGTTTTATTGGAACAGGCCAAAGGCAGCCGGTCCATTACATTAGGGAAAAGATAGGGACTGTTAAGAGGCTTTCCCAGTTTAAGTCTGTTTACTCCACATCCCTTTGTCTCTAGTCTGTTTACTCATGTGAACTCTGTGCTGTATGCTCCTCTCAGGGGGAGGTAAAGGGGAATTACCTGTTAATGGTGTTTACTCTGGGCCGCAGAACCCAAAGTTTTTATCATTCATGAAACCACTCTTTTAACCATGTTAATTACCCACAAGCATGTTAACTTAAACCCTCTGTTATAAAATTTTTACTAAATGAATGTGTAGATGTACAGGGAGTCTTGGTCAATTGGAGGCAATTGCTCTCTGAAAGCAGCCAATGATCATCCCTAGCCTACTTGAGTCACTGAAATAGGTGTGAAAGTGCATTTATTCATCCGTCACTAAGTCAGGGTCTGCAGGACACATCACTGCAGGTGGTGATCAGTGTCTCATTCCTTTATCACACTCACTTCCACTCAAATTGAATACTGAGAGGAGGGTGATGGGGTTGATGTTCAACAACTTTCAAGCTTACATGTAATTTTGGAACAATAAACAGTGACAGAAGAGCAGTGAAGATCCCTGGGTTCCCTCCACATTGGCCACTGTGGATAGCTTGGAATATCATGACATTCCATCCTAAAGCATGAAGTTTGTTGTGTTTGCTATGGTTCAAGAGCAGATTTCTAACAAAATCTGTAATTTAGAGTAAGATGCAGATTGCTTCACTAAAACGACCTGCCAATACTTGTAATCTTTTTTTTTTTTTTTTTTGAGACTGGGTCTTATTGCTTTGTTTCCCAGGCTGGAATGCCATGGCATGATCTCGGCTCACTGCAGCCTCCAACTTCCAGGTTCAAGTGGTTTTCCCATCTCAGTTTCCCAAGTACCTGGGATTATAGGGGTGTGCCACCACACCCAGCTAATTTTTGCATTTTTAGTAGAGTTGGGTTTTCACCATATTGGCCTGGCTAGTCTTGAACTCCTGACATCAGGTGATCCACCCACCTCAGCCTTCCAAAGTTCTGGGATTACAGGCATGAGGCCCCGTGCCCAGCCAATAGTTATAATCTTTATGTGTTGTGAGTTGTGAGATAAAGTTGCATTGTAAATTCATAAATACGTTCATCATAGCAACAGTATTTAAAATGTGGTAAATGGTTGAATTCCAGAATGGCTTACTTTTTTTAAAAAAGCTAGTTAGTTTTATAATCACAATTACTTCAGAATTTTTGATAGTTGAAAGAGTTGACCCTTGAACAGTTTGGGGTTTAGGGCCTGTACAGTCAAAAATCTGATTCTAGCTTTTGACTCCCCTCAAACTTAAGTACCAACAGCTTACTGTTGACCATAAGCTTTACTGATAACATAAATAATTAACACATTTTTATGCTATATGCATTAGATATGGTATTCTTGCTATAAAGTAGGCTATAGAAAAGAAAATGTTTAAAAGAAACAGTGAAGGGATAATATATGTACAGTTCATTAAGTGGAAGCAGATGACCATAAATGTATTTATCCTCATCTTCATGTTGAGTAAGCTGCAGAAGAGGAAAGGTTGATTTCACTCTCTCAGGGCTGGCTGAGGCAGAAGAAAATCTGCATATAAGTGGACCCTCACAGTTCAACTCCTGTTGTTCAAAGGTCAACTATACATTTTTTTGTGTGGAGGTACCCTTTCATACATACATGGTGTTGACCTGATATTTTAGTTTGTTAGTAAAAGGTTATGTCCATTGTGTGCAATTGCTTTTTAGCACTTGTGAAACACTTTACTGCTTGTGAACTGAGCCCCATTAGATGTAATTGAGAAGCTCCGCAATCAATTGCATCAGGATGAGCCTTCACAGCCATGGTGAGGGAGAACCAGGCAGCCCTCAGTGATGCCCTGAGGCTGAGACTAGGCTCCCTGCCTAACTTAGGTAAGACTGCCCACCTACCAACAAGCGATTTGATTAATCTAATCTGAGTTACTCACACACATCTTGTTACAGAAAAAATGCTACTCATGCCATGGCCATATGAATATCACTCCCAGGTCAGAGTGAATAATGTAAAGCTTTTAGATGAATAGCAAGGATGTGAATAAGATTCTTATGAAACTAATGGAATCAGAATTTTGATGAATGGAATAAAATAAATAGGTAAAATGTATTGGAAGCTTTAAGATATTACCACTATCTTAAAGCTTCTTGATTGTTTTTCTATCTAATTCTAATACTGAGTTTTCAGATTGTAAGGCTGAGACTACTGTGTGCTGAAATTGGTTGGTGAACAGAGATATTTGTTTAAAGTACCATAACTTTAATACAAAGTGGTGTGCTGAATATGTTTAAAAAAAAAGGTGGCAGGGAGTTTTCACAGGTTGGTCACTTCACACTCACCAGGCAACTGCAGATTGGGCACAGAGACTGAGTACCTGCGCGCTGTGGTGGGCAAGCCAGCACAGCCTGTGAGCCAGCTGGGCAGGGTTGGCTTCCTGCCTCTACTTCAACCAATGGGCTGGAAGCACAAGTAAGGGAGAATGCCAGCATCCCTGCTAGTGAGACTTCTTTGTTTACATTTGTTCACTCCAGTTCAAGTTTACAACCCCATTCCCTCTGCTAAGATTCTGGGCCTCAGAGATGATATTGTCCTGAACCACCTTGATTTTCAGTTAGGTGTACAGATTGCATCGACCGTCACACTCCATTAAGTTGAGTAGAATTTTTCAGATGTGCTTTACTTCATAACGTCATATTTATCTACTTCTATTTAATAAACACAAAAAATGAACAATTAGCATGCTAACAAATATGAATACATCATATGGGCTTTTTTTTTTTTGAGGTTTACTGGTTTATTATAAAGGATACTGCAAAGAATCCAAGTGAAGAGACATGTAGGGTGAGGTATGGGGGAAAGGCACTTAGCTTCCCTGTCCTCCCTGGGTGTACCACCCTCCAGGAACCTCCCTGTGTTCAGCTATTAGGAAGCTCCCAACCCAGTCCTCTTAGGTTTTTTTTTTTTTTAATTGTACTTTAGGTTCTAGGGTACATATGCACATCATGCAGGATTGTTGCATAGGTACATACATGGCAAGGTGGTTTGCTGCCTTCATCTCCCCATCATCTATATCTGGCATTTCTCCCCTCATTATCTCTCCCCACCCTCCCCACCCAGCTGTCCCCTAGCCCTCCTCCCCCCACTGACCCCAGTGTGTGATGCTCCCCTCCGTGTCCATGTGTTCTAATTGTTCAACACCCGCCTATGAATGATAATACACAGTGTTTGGTTTTCTGTTCTTGTGTCAGTTTGCTGAGAATGTTGGTTTCCAGATTCATCCATGTCCCTACAAAGGACATGAACTCATCCTTTTTTAAGGCTATGTAGTATTCCATGGTATATATGTGCCACATTTTCTTTATCCAGTCTATAGATGATGGATATTTGGGTTGGTTCCAGGTCTTTGCTATTGTAAACAGTGCCGCGATGAACATACGTGTGCATGTGTCTTTATAATAGAACACTTTATAATTCTTTGAGTATTTACCCAGTAATGGAATTGCTGGGTCAAGTGGTATTTCTTTTTCTTGGTCCTTGAGGAATCACCACACTGTCTTCCACAATGGTTGAACTAATTTATACTTCCACCAACAGTGTAAAAGTGTTCCTATTTCTCCACATTCTCTCCAGCATCTTTCGTCTCCAGAATTTTTAATGATTGCCATTCTAACTAGTGTGAGACAGTATCTCAATGTGGTTTTGATTTGCATTTCTCTAATGACCAGTGATGATGAGCAATTTTTTTATGTTTCTTGGCCTCATGGATGTCTTCTTTGGTAAAGTGTCTGTTCCTATCCTTCGCCCACTTTTGAATGAGTTTTTTTCTTGTAATCATTTTTAGTTCTTTATGGATTCTGGATATTAGCCCTTTGTCAGATGGGTAGATTGCAAAAATTCTTTCCCATTCTGTTGGTTGCCGGTTCACTCTAATGATTGTTTCCTTTGCTGTACAGAAGCTCTGGAGTTTAATTAGATCCCATTTGTCTATTTTGGCTTTTGTTGCCATTGCTTTTGGTGTTTTAGCCATGAAGTCCTTGCCTATGCCTATGTCCTGAATGGTTTTGCCTAGGTTTTCTTCTAGGGTTTTTATGGTGTTAGATCTTATGTTTAGGTCTTTAATCCATCTGGAGTTAAATAGGGCTTTTTTTTTTTTTAGATTAGATATCTATTCAGTATGCATTTTACAAATATATCTTAAAGCTATATCCCTGCTACCTAATAACAAATGTATGTTCTCATTTAGAAAAAGAAAAGAGATACATATGATATGGAAGGTAAAAGTGCAGAAACCTGAGTCGATTGATAAATACCAATTATTTCATACATGTGAACAATTCACAAGATGAAAAGGGTTGCAGAACTCTGCTTCTCCCATTTTCTAGCTATCTCTTTTTCAGATATCCTTTTCCTGAATAACTACTACTCTGTGTAGAGTGGAGAGAATTTTAAAATTGGAGATTATTTTAACATCCTAGGATAACTGAGGTTATATTTATTTTCATATCCTCATGTTCACCAAATTAGCAGAAAAAGTTGACTACTTATTATTTTTGGAGACAATGTCTCACTCTGTCACCCAGGCTGGAGTAGTGCAGTGGTACAATTATAGCTCACTGCAGTTTCAAACCCCTGAGCTCAAGCAATCCTCCTGCTTCAGCCTCTAGAGTAGCTGGTACTACAGGCGAGCAACACTATGCCTGGCTAAGTTTTTTTTTTTTTCCTAGAGACAGGATCTGCATTGTCCAGGCTGGTCTTGAACTCCTGGCCTCAAGCAATCCTTTCACCTTGGCATCAAAAAGATCTGGGATTACAGGCATGAACTACCACACTTTGCTAAAAGTTGATTTAAAATTGCATCTGTAGAATTATAACTAGCAACTTTTAAGACAAAGAAATTAAGAATTCAAAGTCATCATTAAAATCAATTATTTTAATTGCTGAAATTAACATACATAATGAACTAGGTGAGAGAGATCACAAGTATTTGGATGAAATTTATAGTAAATCATCCTATTGCTGGAGACAGTCATGAAGAGCTCCATCCTGTTGACCTGCTGAACTGAAAGGGATTGTCACTCAGCCTTCAAGGACATGCACATCATAAAGGAGGCCAAGCAAAAATCAAAGCGAACAATAGCTACATGTTTGGAAAATATACATCAAATTACACAGACAAGAGTTATGACCAGCTGTGTACCTGCTCAAGTGGGAACATTTTAAAAGATGACAGTCACCCATGAATACTGAAATGTGATGGTCAAGTGGTCCATCAACAACACAGATACAAATGGAAATCATTAAACTTTCTGGAGGGGCCATCTGATAACAACATCAAGGCCTGGGTTTTTCCCAGTGGGAGTTTTTCTTCTTATCTAGATAAGCACAGGCAGAGATGGGCTGGGCAGTGGCTGGTTTCTGGATGCAGCCACACTGACTGGACTTAGCACTGCAGCTCTTCCTCCTTGGTCCGCCGGGAGCCTCCTGCCAAGCTCTGGGCGCTGGCATGGGCCGTGGAGCTGAGGACCTCCTCAAAACTGCCTCCATTAGGGTTCATCCCGCCTACTTTCGTCTGAAATGAGCAGATCCACAAAAATGCAGTTAGTTGTTACTATCATTTTTGTAATGTTTTTATAAGAATGCCAAAAGCTGGATTACTTTGAAATTCAGAAATACTTTCTATCTTTAGAGACAAAAGACTGTAGAGAAGTTTTGTTTCCTTTAGCAGAGTGCTAGAATGTTATTCATACTTGGGTTCTGGGATAGGATTCCAAACTTTAATTTTGCACAATTTTAGCAACTCTCTCTTTATCTCTTCTACTTCTAAAATTTCAGTCCCTCCAAGAGGATAATCCAATCCATGGACTTGGAACTTCTATCCCCACTCACCCAGAGAGAACTGATCTAATCAAAATGGAATTAGATATTTTTTATTAATTCCTCCAATTTTACAAATGCATAAACATCCTTACATGACATAAACAAGATTTTTTTGGGAGTTAGCAGGACAATATGGATTTCTGGCAAATGCCTTTTGAAAAGACAGAGTGGCTCAATGGAAAATGATTTCTCATTTCTGCTCTGAAAATTGGAGATGGATCAAGCCATAATCACTGGTGATTTCACATCATCTTAGGTAATTGCCTTTTGATATGGTTTGGCTACGTCCCCGCCCAAATCTCATCTCAAATTGTAGTTCCCATAGTCCCCATAAGCCTACCAGGGAGGAACCTGGTAGGAGGTAATTGAATCATGGGGGTGTTGACCTCCAAGCTGTTCTTATGATAGTGAGTTCTCACAAGATCTGATGGTTTTAAGGGGCCTTTATCCCTTTTGTTCAGCACCTCTCCTTCCTGCCACCATGTGAAGAAGGACATGTTTACTTCCCCTTCCACCATGATTGTAAGTTTCATGAGGCCTCCTCTGCCCTGTGGAACTGTGAGTCAATTAAACCTCTTTCCTTTATAAATTACCCAGTCTCAGGTATTTCTTCATAGCAGCATGAAATGGAACTAATACACCCTTATAGTAGGAATATTCCTTACAATGCAGACATGATGCTTTACGAGGCCTTTTTCGTCTATACTTGCTATTGACTAAGAATAAACACGAAGGAATTTACTTACAATTTTAAAATATGGCTATTTTGAAAATTTCCTTATGAAAAATACTGTATACTTAATCGTCCAAAATGCTTAGTACAAGTAGTTACATTGGCCTTCCCTCCACTGTTTTTCATAATGTAGAAAAAACACTTTGAAGCAGGAAAAGGAGATATAGAATAATGTTGCTATTGCCAAACTGACGTTGATGCCTCACTGTCACCAGAGTGATCACTCACAGACATCAACAACACTGAGGAGTGTGTTCATGCTGCCTGGCCTGCCCTTTAAAAAATATAACCAGGGTTCAAAAGCAGTTCCATCATTACAAAACATACTTTTCTCCAATTGTCACTACAATCTCTTTCTGCCTCTTTAATAAATTTTTTATTAAATTAAACTTTCCACTCTGCTTGGTGTCAGAAAACTCTACCTGTAAAGGGCCAGACAGTAAATACTTTAGGCTTGGAAACCATATTGTTGCTCTCACAGATACTCAAATGAGTTCTGGTAGGAAGTAGCCACAGCCAATACCTAAATGAATGAGCATGGCTTTCTTTTCCTTCCTTCCTTCTCCCTTTCCCTTTCCCTTCCATTCCTCTCCCTTCCCTTCCCTCTCTCTCCCTGTTCTTCCCTTTCTCCCTCCCCTCTCCTTCCTTTCCTTTCCTTCTTCTTGAGACGGAGTCTTGCTCTTCACCCAGGCTATAGTGCAGTGGTATGATCTCAGCTTACTGAAACCTCTGCAATTCTCCCTGTCTCAATCTCCCAAGTAGCTGAGATTACAGGCACCTGCTACTATGCCCAGCTAATTTTTGTATTTTTAGTAGAGACAGGATTTCACCATGTTGGCCAGGCTGGTCTCGATCTCCTGACCTCAGGTGATACACCCACCTCAGTCTCCCAAAGTGCTGGGATTACAGGCATGAGCCACCATGACAGGCCAAGGCTGTGTTTCAGTAAGACTTAATGTATGGACACTGAAATGTGAATTTCATATAATTTAATTTTCACGTCACAAAATATTATTTTTATTTTGATTCTTTTTCAACCATTAAAAAGTGTAAAGCCATTCTCAGCATATGTATCATTCAAAAGAAAATGCCCAGCTTAGTTTGTGGACCTCCGGCAGAGCATTGATTCTTCCTCCCTTCTGTTATCTTAACACTGGGAATAGGTCGGGGGAAGGGATGGTTTCCACTATGTGATTTTTCTTTACACTTATTTCTTCCCTGAGAGAAATAAGATTAATTCAATGTAATCTACTCTATTAATAGCTCCCTCTCTCCTTTTTTTTTCTTCCATTCACATTCTCTTTTGCAATAGAAGTAACACACAATATTGAATTCAGTGAATACCAATTACTGATGTGTTCTTCTGTTCTTTGTTTCATTCTTCTCTCCTGTTTCTTGATTTTCTCAAAACAGAGTAGTAAAGAAGGAAGAAATGACTTTGTAAAAAATCAATTTGGCACAGAAGGAATGGAATAAGAGAGTTTCCTAACCACATAGGTTTAATGACTGCCTACTGCAATACCTTAGGTAAGGACCTGCTTAAGCAAAGATGTGAATGATAAAATTCTCCTGAAACCTTCTCTTCCTAATCATTTTTCATCCAAGTATTTGTCACTTTGTCCCCAAAATTATAATTGTTCTTTGCATAGAATTTCATTTGAATTGCTGAGTTGGGCTTCCTAATCTCTCATAACAAAATAACTGATTGAAAGGACAAAAAGAAACAAAACATGTAAACCTGCCCTTTCTTTTTTTAAGGTTTTGGTCCAGGCCATGTAATGTATTTATTATTTAAAAAAGAAGGCACACTGAAAATATGGTAAGCTTGACATGGATGCAAAATCATTGGAAGAGATGTAGTTACTCATGACTCATTGGGATATGTAGAAGATACCAAAGGTGGTTTCACAGGAGTTGGTTCTGCATTTGCTTGTTTGTTTTGGATGAAATAGAAAGCATGCTCCGTGACTATATAGGTGACACCAACTAAAGTGTCAAGTAATACACCTGGCAGAAATGAATTTTATAGGACTGGAAAATGGTTTCATGGAAAAACAGACTACAGAATTGGATATAAAGAAAGAACAATGGATTTGGTACAAGTGCCACATGGTACATGACAGATTGTGTGGGAAGATGGCAGGAGTGGACCTTTATAGCAGAACTCTATTTCTCACAGAATATAAATATGATGATGATTCCTTATCAGCAGTATTTTCAAAAATCAAATATAAAGCAGGGCATGTGAGTGGAAATGCAGCACGTAAACCTAGAAGAAATTCTACTCATCTTTACTGATTCATGAGTCATTCCCTCAACAGAAAACAGTCTAAGGAACTTAATTAAAGAATAATATAGACATCTTGGAGATTTAGAACACAAAAGTAAACTGCAGAAAATGAGCTATATAAAGAAGGGTTATACATATCTCTTATTTAGTCTAGCGGAGGGGGGAAAAGGGACTGAGAAATTTGTAATTATTGAGGAAATGGTAGGTTTGACACAAAGCGTGATTATCAGCTATTCTCCATTGCCTGGGTGGACAGAAAAAAAGGGATTAGGCTTTGGCTGTGCGATAGGAGGTGGATGGGATGTGAGTCTTATTAAACCATGAACAGTCATACAAACAGAATCACTTTCAGGAGGTCTCCACCTCCTGAAGGCTAGTATCTGGTGGGCTGGGTTAGTTATATGCATGTCTGAAGGAGGCGGCAGGCTATACCTTCTATCCCAATGAGGTGAGAAAAGTGAGAAGCTGAGCATGTGGATCAAACACTTAAATCCTATGTGAGCCGTGAGCTTACCAGAATTTCCTAAAAGCAAATGAAAATGCCTTGTTCTTTAATCTTCTTTTGCTTCTTCGTATCTCCTTCTTCTAAAAAAAACCTAAAAAGTACAACTTCCCCTATATCAAAACTTGTCTAACAAGCAATGGAATCCATCCTCATTGTGTTGTCTAAGGAGGCTGAAAACCAAATGTTTAGAAACTGACTCCTGGGATTTTTGAGCCTTTTGTTTTAATATTCTAGCAAGAGAAATGTTCACAACATTGGATGCTCCTCCCTTTATGAAAATTTTCCTACCCATGGGGCAGTTTAACAGCTCCCACTGGTCCCTGCATGCTCAGTAAGTGATGATGTTGGCATGCAGAATGGTGAAACTGCACAGCTGGAACCTGCTGGTGAATGAAACTGATGAAGGCATGGTAAATGCTGAATAATAATTTCATTATTGGCCGTAAACACTTGATTATGGGCCTAATAAAGTAGAAATAGAAGACTATGTAAAAGACCCTGCCCTAAGAAAAAGACTCTCCGGGTCAAAATCCATAAAAGCACCTGGGACCACAAGTAAAGAATAACTTACAACCTCACATACACTTATTGGGCAGCACATGTGACAGCAGCATGGAGACACAGGATTCAGAGGCAACTGAGTAATCAGCATGGGATATAAACGTTTTTGATCTGGTTAAAGATCACATGTATTCTTAATTTTCCCAGTTATGGTAAAATACAGAAATGGATTGTATACAAAATAGGGATGATGATAGCAAGATGTAATTAAGTCATTAAATGATACTTTTAAAAATTATCTTTGTAGTTTTAGTGATTTTTCTTGTTTTAAAAGTTCAATACATTTTAAGACTAGACTGATTTCATTTTTACTCTTTTTATTCAAACTTACCTATGCTCAAACAATAAGTCCAGTGAATTTTTTTAAAACCCCTACACTGTAATAGGCACATTTTTCGTTTATACCCAGGGATGAAATGCATTATTGCATTATTATAAAATGCATTTTGTGACTCAGTTATGTTTTTTCTCTATGATAGCCATACTGTGCCATGCTCAATACCTGAATTTATAAACTAAGTAGCTGAATGGGTGGTGGATACATAGTCCCAAGTTTGTTTATACTGGTCTATGTCCAAACCAGAGCAGCTCTGAGCTGTTTTTGGACTTCCATTCATACTCTAAAGTCAGACTTCATACAGCCTTTATCCTATCCACAGTCGTCTCTCACTTACCTACTTTTGAGGGGATAACATTAAGAGATTAAATGGTAAGCACATACCCCAGTTCACTTTAATGAACAATTCACCCCTGAATGGTTTATACAAACAGCTCTAAGGATACGGTAACACTGTTCAGTCATGGTTTTATTCATAGATGTATATGTGAAGGAAAAGGTCTGACTTGATGCAAGCCTGCCTTGGCCCTGCCTTGACTTTGAACTAACCGCAGCGATGGCTAAGCTGTCCTGAGTACATGGACCCACTCACACAGAATTCACTTCATCTGTACCTTGAGGCTTGTGACAGTTGTCTCAACCCTCTCCTCAAATGATTTGAAAGTAGGAGAATTCCTAAAATAACAAAAAAAGAGAGGTCAGCTCCAAAGACCTAGCTGTCTTAGCAACCATGCTGTTTGGTTTTCTGCTCATATTTGTAAACCTGGCCTCTGCAACAGAGCTACCTGTCAGCTTGCCATCTACCCCAACCATGTTTTAAAATGTATGTCACTTCTGATAGCTTAGGTTCAGAAACCATAACCTGACATGGAATTTTTCTAAGTAAAATGGTCAGATACTCAACTGTACAATAAATAATGTGGTATTTGTCAATGACACAACTATACTAATTCCATGGTATACTGTCAATCATTTCCAATGAGCCAGTGGAGCAATAGATAGCTTTAAGTTTCCATTTAGCATTTATTGTTTCTATCACAACACTCCTCTTCCCAACTCAGGTTTTTTAGTAAGCAATGGAAAATCCATACAAAGAATGTCATGTTTGAGTTTTGCCACTTGGCATTTTTTTTAGTTTTATTTCAGCAAATGTGAGACAAGACAGAAATAGCACAAGGAAAAAAATGTTCATATTTTTTTTCTTTTCCATGCCTTAAAAAAATAATCATTTTGACAGCTTCCATGAAGTCGTGTTTTGGGAAGTTAATGCTTTCATTATTTTAAGATAAAACATACCCACTCCCTACCTAATGCCTTATCTAAATGGCATTATTAGCATGTGTTATTTTTCCTCGCACATAGGATATATCTATTTGTTCTCTTACTAAACAGGTTTTTTTGTTTTGTTGTGTTTTTTGATAAAGAGTCTTGCTTTGTTACCCAGGCTGGAGTGCAGTGGCACTATATCGCCTCACAGCAACCTCCACCTCCTGCCTCAGCCTCCAGAGTAGCTGGGACTACAGGCACCCACCACCACACCTGGCTAATTTTTGCCTTTTTAGTAGAGATGGGGTTTTACCACGTTGGCCAGGCTGGACTCAAACTCTGACCTCAGGTGATATGCCTGCCTCGGCCTCCCAAAGTGCTGGGATTGCAGGCGTGAGCCACCATGCCGAGCCCCTAATGCCATTTTATTTGTGACACATTCATTGTGAAATAATCTATACATCATCTTGTTGCTTTAGGCGTTAAAAACTTCATTTGGTGCTTTCTGGTTTTCTATATTGGATTTGGCCCCCTGATATTATAATTCAATGACATCACTACCATTAAAAATATCAACACCTCCTACTAAAGAAATAGGAACTGAACTAAGTGTATTTTAAATCTTGTATCCATGTCAGCTTTGAGCAGCAACAACTGCCATCATTTTCAGATCAAATAATCAACTAAATGTTGAATTAATAAGGTACTTGTTATTCTCTCTTGAGTGCAAAAAAAAAAAGTAAAATAAGAAGAATGGCCTAGAAAAACTTTATAAAGGAGAATGGCTATAGAATATAGGTTTCATTGTATGATGCAGAATGAAGCATCACTCTTATTATGCTCCTAAAAGGCAATGAACATAGATGTTTATGAGTGAATTTGGGGATTGTCTCCTGAGTCTTTGATGCTCCATGTGGTCAGAAATGTATCTGCCTTCAGGCTGCACAGATCAACACTGGTGAGTTCAGAGGATCCTGACATGGCATCACACCTTGTATATGACTCAAACATGAGTTAAATTCCTATAAGTAATCCTCTACAAACCTGTTTCATGATGAAATATTAGTAAAATTACACTTGAGTGACTCAAAAGGTATATAGTTATTGGCACTTCATTTCCATTGCAGGTTTTATTTGACCAAGCCTTCGCACATGACTGCCTGTCATTCGTCAGTTACAGAGGCCCACAGTGAGGAAATGGTTCATGGGTATATGTTAGACAAGCAAAATAATTTTTTTTTCAAGTTAGTTTCAGGCAAGCTCATGCAGACTGCATTTGACCCATAAGCTACTACCAGATGACTTCCTGGTTCACAGGGCAAAACCATGTTAATTTTTGCAAGCCATCTTCTGACACCCAGATTTAAAATTTGACAAGTAAAGGAAAATAGAGCCTTAGGTTCCAATACCCAACTTAGACGTTCTTTTTTTCTTTTTTTTTTTTGAGACAGAGTTTCGCTCTTGTTACCCAGGATGGAGTGCAATGGCGCGATCTCGGCTCACCGCAACCTCCGCCTCCTGGGTTCAATCAATTCTCCTGCCTCAGCCTCCCGAGTAGCTGGGACTACAGGCACGTGCCACCGTGCTCAGCTAATTTTTTGTAGTTTTAGTAGAGATGGGGTTTCACCATGTTGACCAGGATGGTCTCGATCTCTTGACCTCGTGATCCACCCGCCTCGGCCTCCCAAAGTGCTTGAGCCACCGCGCCCGGCCCTTAGACGTTCTTAAGTTAGGGGAACAAGCCATTCAAAGATGAACTAAGCAATCTTGAATCTGTACTCCCTGTTTACCACCAAATACAGAGAACTAACAACTGTGGTTAAATTTCCAAATCAGCCAATTAACCACATAACCCCAGTGGAAAGAGCCTTCCTTCATAAGATGTAATAGAACAGACATTTGTCTAATTAAATTATCCTAGAATACATGCTGGAACAGGGAGAAACTCTTTAATCAGATTTAATCAGATGTACAACTGTAATCAGATTTAATCAGATGTACAAACTTTTAGCACTGCAAATGACCCTATGAGGAATTTGGCATCATGACAATTAAAAAACACAAAACACAGGAAAAGATTATAAAGAATTTGGCTTCAGTGGTCTCAAATTATTGAAACTAACTGAACCCCCTCTATAAAGTATTCAAACCACAATATTAACATAAAGCAGGTAGAAGAAGTGTAGCTCTGACTGAAGTGGGGGAAGCTCCCAGAGGCTTCATCTCTAGGCAGCCTTAGGGCTCAGTGGGTGGAGGAGGCACCTTTCACAAGCAGCTAATCTGGTTCTAGCCTCTTATTTTAAAGATGATGAAGCTGATACAATTGAGGTGATTTTCCCGAGTGGAAAGTTAATCCTAGCCAGAGCCTGCATTTTCTGATTTTCAATTTAACACTCATTCCTATCTTACTATTAACTTAAATTTTATCGGAGCATCACCATGCCATGGAAACTTGAAGTTAAGTTAGGAATGTCCTTCTCACCAGTTATGATCTGGAGAGTAATTGTGCTGACATTTTATTGTTTAACAAACATCTCAACTTGATATCTACCTTAAGAATCCTAATGATATCCTTTCTAGAATTTTAGCCTTCTTAATCTCTTATCCTTTCATTTAAACTTTCCCCCAGGCTGGCATTTAATTTTGCTGAAATAAGAAACCCAAGTGTACCTTTGCAAGATCGGTTGGCATGTTCAGACGCAGTGCTAAATGCTTTATGTAGGTTCTTTTGTTTGTATCTCTCAAACACCATATGAAGTAGGTCTTATTTCTTGCGATATATGGATAAAAGAATCGAAGTTAAGTCACTTGTCTTGGGTCACACAGGAAAGGCTGGATTTAAGACAGGATGTCTGGTCAAAAGCCCAAACTACACAATTCTACAGAATTATCAGTCTTTTCTTCTGAATAACATCAGCAATTTCCTTTCACATAAAATAGGGGAACCCCATAAGTAAATCTAAATAAAATAACACCTTAAACCCATTCTGTAGTCATATGATATAAAATATTTTACACACATTACCTCATAGCAGGCATACTTATGGAATGGCGAATGGAGTAGCTTCAAAGCAAAAGCAGATTAAAGGGGAAAAAAAAGAAAAAAGAAGAGAGCACAACATAAGTACATGAAAACCCCCCTATTCATAGTTCTAAAACAGCAATTCCAAATATCTGAAATATTCCTGGCCCATCCAACCAAGATGATATTTGTTTTGTTGGGTATAATGGGGCATTGTCGGCTTTCAAGAGTATAAATGAAAAGTAGATGGTGGAGCCAGGGTTGCATCTTATTTTACTTTCTACAGCCTTCTTTAGCTAGGAAATCTGTGAATGTCTGGTTTCTCCTAGGTGAGCCCAGTAGCCCATGGGCATCTTCTACAGGACCAACCTGGGTCTCTACTCCCTTCTGCTCAGGAAGACAGTAAGGAGCAAAGGGCAGTATCCAGGAAATAGAGCCAGGCGGGTAGGAGCTAATCACTCCATGGTAGAGAAACTGGCCAGAGGAATGCAAGAAGCTTACATAAGACTTTCAAGGAATCACATGCCAGGGAAACACAATTCTCCTAGGCCAATATGGGGTCAGGGACTTCTGCATCCATTCGGGTTTGATTGTCAAGAACATCTGGTACAAATACAAACATTCCTGAGAATTTTAAGAAATTTAGCTTTCTCATCCTATTAATCCTAGTAGCCGATTCATCTTTGCTCTGGTCAATTGCTTGTTACTTTCTACTGAGTCTCACTGATATATTAGACTGGACAGGGGGAGGAGCACAATGGGTCCATTTTCCTGGCCTAGTGCTGGCTCCCATCTCACGCTTTTCAACAGCACCCCTGCTTTCTCTTCTCTCAAGAAGCTATAGTTCAGGGACTAAATCTGTCACCCTTCACTGACAAAATCCACTGAGGGCATTATTAGTATGGATAGCACTTTGCTAGAACACAGAAAGAAAAGGACAAAGAAATTCAGGGGATACTTACAGTCTTACCCTAGACATTCCATTCAGAAACTATTAGGCAGATATTTCCTCAGAAATTATACTTTAAAAGCATCACTAAAATAAACTCATCTGCATTACTAATTGGTGTATCTCTGTAAATACAGACCGCTTTCTTAGGAAAAAATTTAAAAAATAAAAGTATATAATAAGATTACAGCTAAAAGAAGGCTTAATTCAGGGGCTAGGGACTAACAGTTGCAAACTTCTTAACATATGCGCTTTTCCAGTAACCTTTCTTCCCTCCAACTTCAGAAGGCACAGAAAGTTGAAGGTGAAACATCAACACAAATTAACGGGTAAGAAATTCAGAGAAACATGACAATCTAGAGAAAATCAGTGTTTGTTTCTCAACTTTACATTCTAGAAGATTTACAAAATACATAACTTTCTTTCTTTCTTTTTGACATGGAGTCTTGCTCTGTCACCCAGGCTAGAGTGCAGTGGTGCAATCTCAGCTCACTGCAACCTCAGCCTCCTGGGTTCAAGCGATTCTCCTGCCTCAGCCTCCCGAGTAGCTGAGATTACAGGCTCTGACCACTATGCCCCGCTAATTTTTGTATTTTTAGTAGAGACAGGGTTTCACCATCTTGGCCAGGCTGGTCTTGAACTCCTGACTTCATGATCTACCCACCTTGGCCTCCCAAGGTGCTGGGATTACAGGCGTGAGTAATTGCTCCCAGCCAAAAACATACAGAACTTTCAATCTCCACTTGTTTTTTTCTTCTTCTTTCAATTCTAAGGTCCTCTGTCAACACGGGAAGAAATGGTGCCGAGAAAGAGACTCCTGAAAGATTCCTCAGCAAGTGACATGGTGTAAATGATTCAGAAATGGCCGGGCACGGTGGCTCATGAGGTCAAGAGATCGAGACCATCCTGGTCAACAAGGTGAAACCCTGTCTCTACTAAAAATACAAAGCGTTAGCTGGGCATGGTGGCACGTGCCTGTAATCCCAGCTACTCAGGAAGCTGAGGCAGGAGAATTGCCTGAACCCAGGAGGCGGAGGTTGCGGTGAGCCGAGATTGAGCCATTGCACTCTAGCCTGGATAACAAGAGCAAAACTCCGTCTCAAAAAAAAAAAAAAACAAAACATTCAGAAATGAGATAGAGATAAGTTCAAATGTATTAGGCGCCCTGTAAACTATCTTCCTGGTCACGAACGCTCTCTGGAACATAGAGTGCAGTTTTGTTGGTTCAAGAACAGTGTGAAAGAAACAGAAAGTCCTGGGAAGCAAGTGGGCAACAAGGGAGTGGGCAGAGTCCCACACACAGCCCCGTGGTGCTTACCCGATGGAGTGAGACCTGCAGCCAGGCAGCACAGGAGAGAAGAGCAAGAGCAGAGTTAGCAAACAGGGATGCAGAGAAGCACCGCACTGCCCTTGGGGGTCCCCTTTCAAGGGCCCTGGAGCAGAGACAGGGTAGCTTCTTTTACCACTTTTGATTACACTGACGTTTTAACGTCTCTGTCAAATCATTTTACCAACTTAGGTTTTGCTTCTGTTATTCCTAGGAGTATATAACAATGATTGGCCTCTAATAAAATGTCATGCCCTCTCCAAACATTCTGTCCCCACCAGATCACAGTTTGAACAAATTAACTGAGAAGTTCCCAGAAGATGCCAACGCTGGTAGAGAAATGATTCCAACCACTTGTATTTCTTCAGAGTACTTTCCTAGGTGTGACCTCATTTTAACCTCACAGGAAACGTTTTGGTTAAAGGGGTATTAACAATGTTATTTTATGGATGGAGAAAGAGAGTGGGTAATTCCATGACAATGAGGTTAAAATGAGGATCTTACTTAGCTCAGGAAAACGTAACTTATTTTTACAAAACGTACAAATTAAATCCTAACATAATGCCTTTTTCTAGCTATTAAAAGGCCCAAAATCTAGGTTTTACAAAAGCTGTAAATATTAATTTAGAGTTATTTTAAAGAAGAACTGAGAGGTACCATTTTTTCTTCCAAGGTATCTGAATTTTGCTGGTAATCTTTTTGAATAAATCCAGAAATTTATTACCAGAACGCACAAAAAATTTCTAGCATAATTGATAAAAATGTAGAGTAATATGATACTTTCAACCAAAAAGAAGTCTAAAATAAAAGGTCTATGATCGAATTTTAACACATTCCTCATATTTACATATTGGCACATTCATTTTTGAACAAAAAAAATCAAAGCTTATGGATTTTTCTCATTTAAGGGCTTTTATTAAATTAAGCTTAAACACTTTAAAAATGACTTGTTTTAGCATAATTTTAAACTAAAAATTCTTTGCAAAACTTCTTGCTTTTACAGACTTACTCTCATTTATATACAAATGTTAGATATAGTTTGAGAAAAATATATACATGAAATATTATATAAATATAGCTCTGAAATTTTCAAACTCTTCAAAATATTTCAGGATTATATTTGAGTCTCTAGTAACATAGACTATATTTTCCAATATTTTAGCCACAGTTTATAATGAAAATGTTGTATCCTTTACATGGAGTTATAATTAGTGGAAAGTTTGGAAGTCCTGGCAAATAGGCCATCCACTATACTAAACAAAGCCACATTGAAACAGGAGGAAAGGCAGTAAATACAACCTTAACATTGTACCAAATTAGTGTTTAAACATGAATACATATTTAAAGACTGTGTCAACATATTACATATGTGAAACACAGTCTTCATTCTTCACTATTGAGAAAAAACAACGAACAGGGGCTATACAAAATACAGTGGGCTCCTGTTAATGTACTCTCTCTACTTTCTGTCATGTGGGGCTATCTTGTAACTAAGCTGGTCACTTAAAGAAAAAAACCTGCTATTTTTTGAGTGTATAATACATGCCAAGCTTTCTTCTGCTACTTTTATAATAGTACAATGATACTGCTATTCTTATCTCCGTTTTATTAGTGAGAACCCCAGGTACAGGTGAGCTAACTTATGTCTGTCTTTCTCATAAATTGACCCTCTGAAGCCAAATAATCTGGGGCTTGTTATAAATGCAGATTCCTAGACCCCAACCCAGAGGTTGTTACTGAGGCACAACCTCTGAAAGGTGTAACCTAAGAATAAGTATTTTAAATAAGCTTCAGAGGTGTTTGTAAAATCACCTAAAGATGCAGAAGCACTATTCTAGTTAGCAGTATCACGCAGGGTTCCCAGGGTTCAAGTGAGCTCAGTATGTAGAGAACCAATTTTATAAACATGGCAAAATATGTTTTCTTGGGTATAACAGGTTATAGCATTTCCTGTTTTAAAGGATTATTAATTCATTTAGATAAATGTTATAATGCCATTAAAATGATTACAAATTTTATTTGTAATAAAATTAGGGGTAATTAATAATCCAGGGGGTTTACCTGTCTATCACATCTGCCTCTGAGGAAGTTCAACTACTTTTTATTATTGTGATATTAGTAAAAATGAAGATAAAACAATGTACTCAGATTCATGCATGTGTCCTTGTGAATGCCTAGTTGTTAAAATAGTGACTGTTGTACAGTCCAGCAATTTTTGAAGTAAAAAAATTTAATAATATAATACATAAAAATATATCTATAAATGCAAAGATAGAAATATATAAATATTTGCCTCTCAGTGTCAAAGCTTTCTCTTTTTTTTTTTTTGAGACAGAGTCTCACTCTGTCACCCAGGCTGGAGTGCAGTGGTATGATCTGGACTCACTGCAACCTCTGCCTCCTGGGTTCAGTCCATTCTCCTGCCTCAGCCTCCCGAGCGGCTGGGACTACAGGCACATACCACCATGCCTGGCTAATTTTTGTACATTTTCTTAATGGAAACAGGGTTTCACCATGTTAGGCAGGCTGGCCTTGAACTCCTGACCACAAGTGATCTGCCTGCCTCAGCCTCCCAAATTGCTGGGATTACAGGCATAAGGCACCATGCTCAGCCCAAAGCTTTTTCTTTTTAATAAAAAAGTAATAATTTAAGAATCCAGTAAAGTAAATACACACAGATTTATTTCTAAAGAAGAAATTTAAATGTACTAAAAAAGTTTTTAAAGAATAGAGGGAAAATTGAAACTGATGCTAAAGAAAAATCCTCCAAGGCATATCAGCCAAATGCAAAATAAACTATGACTGGTATTGACATAAGCAAAAACGAAAAGAGCAATAACTCTATATGTGATAAATTCCTTGTACATAATATAAAACACTATGGCCAATACCGCATTTTTTTTTCTAGTGCCTTCAGTGAGAACCTTTGGTTACCAAGTCAAAATAAATCTTGATGGTCATCCTTATTTTATATAACAGTGAAATACTGAAAATAACCAAAATGTGCAAGGGTACTTAACTAAAAGTGCTGCTATAGCTGTACACTCATAGGAGATAATAAATTCATTAAAAATGAAGGTGCAATAAATATTAACATACAAAATATTTTTAAAATGAAGAAAGAAAATTACAGAAGTATATATGTATGGTACCTTTATGGAATAAAAGGATAAATAACATATATACTTAACACAGAAGAATATACTAGTTGGATGTATACAAATATATAACCTAGAATAGTTTATCAAAGCATGTTTCACTGAATGCATTTTTTAATTTATCATTTATATTACAGCTAGTAAGATTTTTCTGCATTCTTTTGAAATCTGTCTCACTACCTTGTATCTTCTATTTTTACCAGGTTGGGTCCTAGTAGAAAAGCAAGTCTGGGACCAGGTCACCTAAGCCTGACCTTCAGGCAAAAGCATCCCAATGTAAAAATTAATCTTAGTCATCAATAATACCAGCCATATAACATTTTTATCCATTAAAATAAAAAAATACATATATTGAGATGAGCAGCTAATGGCTAGTGCTCCCTTCAATTGGAAAGCCAAGGGCTCAGCACCCTTCCCACGGTATTTTCCCACAGTACCTCATGTCTCCGAACTTCTTGCTGATGGCCGTCCCAACGTTGCTGAAAGCTGCAGTTGCTTTCTGCCCTGCGTGACTCAGGGTTTCATGTGTTTTCTTGTAGCTAGAAGTAAAACAGAATAACACAGTTTTTATATCATGAACACCCATAAAAAATTAATCTTCCTTCTCATTCCTTACTTTGAAAATGTCCTTTCATTTCATATGTCATGTCCTCTCCAAACATCAACAGATTTAGGAAGAAGAACCACAAAAGCAACTGTTTCCATTCATTGTCTGGAGATGATGGGTTGGCTGCTGTTCGTCAGAAGGGAAGTCAGACCATTAAATCTGAATTCAGGAATATAAATACAGATACAAATACAGATCTGAATGTACAGATCTTCATGACAAATAATGGAGCTGATCAGAGAGTAGAATGTTGTTCTTGAAGTGTATTAGTTCTAAAAAAGACACTTGTCAATGAAAGCTCTAGTCACCAAGGGTGACACAGAAATTAGAAATTGCAGGTTTAGGTTTTAAAGGAAAATCTAAGCTTATACTGTGAATTTGGATAAACTAACCCAGAAAAGGCAAAATACAGCTGGTTTTTTAGCTTATTTTTCTAATATATATAGCTGGAAATAATAAAAGCACATCATCTGAAGATAATATAGTGACTTTTTTTCAAAACAGTTTTAGGAATATAGTACTGTGAATATTTGTTGATAAGTCTATGTCATATTAGACTTGACTACTTGAGGGCAAGGAAGCCATTCATCTTTGTGTCCCTAGTCACTGAGAAAGGGATAAAGGAGAAACTCAATAAACAGTAGATGAACAAGTGGATGATATCAAAAGGGACAACCTTCTGTGACTGAACTGGGAAAAGTGGCACTAGGAAAAGAGAGTATGATGGATTACAGGGATAGAATAGATAGACTCAACAGGAGATGGTAAGTGACAAGAGCAAGACAAAAGATTGCCCTGAGGAGGTGAGCATCGGGACAGGAAGGACAATGGTGCTACCTATAGGGCTGAGAAATTTCTGAGTTGGTTAATAAAGTAGACAAGTCTGAGCGCAGACACACCTATCCCTGTCCCCGCTTGATGGCATTTCTCTACCTGCCCTGGTAGCAGAACACAAATGACATAAACTCTTAAGAGCTTTATGGACCACCCATCGCCTGAGAAACCAGAATACCTCCCTTGGACAATTTAGGGCAAGCTTAAATCCCACTGTGACAACTGCAGCTGGTGCCCCTCTTGAAAGCACCACCTCCTGGCTGGAGGTTGATCAACTCAGGCCATTACTTCAACTCATGACAGAGTAACCCTGATTCCAGGAAGAAGAAAAGAACAGCTAATACTGCTGCCTGTAACATCCTGGCCAACCAGAGGTCCTGAGTCTGTCCACATGACAACTTCACTGCTAGTATAAGAAGCATTTGAGAAAGCCATCACATTAAATCTACTTACAACCAAGGATTCTCACAGTCTACTTCACTCCCCTGCCACCTCCACCAGACCAAGTGCTGGTATCCATAGCTGGGAGACCTGAAGACGTCATATCACAGGACTCTTTGCAGACATTTGCCAGCACCAGCCCAGAGCCTGGTAGTACTGCTGGGTGGCTAGGCCATGAAGAGAAATAACAGTCACTGCAGTTCAGTTCTCAGGAAGTCCAATTTCTAAGGGAAGGGGAGAGCACTACATCAAAGGATCACCCTGTGGGACAAAAGTGTGAAGAGCTGGCCTTGAATTCCAGATCTTTCTACTGGTGGGAAGTTTCTCATAGCAGAGACACAATTGCAGTGCTGGGCACAGTAGGGAAAGTCTGCACCTCTATCCCAAATGGCAGGCAGCCTCTGTGATTGTGTAGGGCCTTGGAGAAAGGGCCCTTGTTCCCATGGAACTCCACTGCAGACACAGTTGGGCTTCCCCCAGAGGAACAGAGGCACCTAGAGACAGCCTTTTTGAAAACAATCTGGGGTAAGTGCAGCCCCACAGGAGGAACACACTCCAGATTCCGGCTTGCTTGAGAGGCAAAGTCACAATTCCTCCCTATTTGGAGCATCAACATTTCCATAGATGAAAAGAGGTGCCGTCTGATCTGAATAGCCAGGACACTGGGACAGGAAGGAGGCTGTGAGATGAGTAGCTTTCCTGCTGACCTGGTAGGGGAGCTGAGGTAGCTCCAACTATTCACCCTAATAAAACCTCAGGACATCTAATTGAGAGCTCCTCCAGCCACCTTCATCAAGGCTTGAACCTCAGCCCACCATCTGCTGAGGTAAATGGGTACTACATTTACCCATCTGCCTTAGCCACAACCAATGACTGCCCTCCTCTCCTAATGGCCCAAAGACTAAATCATCAACTCAGTAAATAAAATAGTGGGGAAAAGTTAAATAAATAAATAAATAAATAAATAAGGGTACACCATGAGAGAATGAGATAAGCTTCAGGAGATTCCAACTCCTTGACAGTGAACTCACCCATGTACCAACAATATAACTACTACAACCAGCATCACAGAAAGCCAGCACACAAAAAAACTTTCTGTAACTAAGGATCTCATACATGAGTCTTCACCTCTATAAGCACCAAGAATTAAATTAGGCTAAAATAAACATTAAAGTCTAATCCTTAAGAGGGAAAAAATAAATTTCAGTTTAAAAAAAAAGTCCAATTAAAAATAAATTCAAGAACAATTTTAAGAAATCGTCCATTTAAATGAGAAGAAATCAGAAAAGTAATTCTTGTAATATAACAAACTGGGGTGCTATAACACCCACAAAAGTTCACCCTAGCTCCTCAATAATAGATTCAAATCAAGAAGAAATCTCCTAATGGCCAGATAAAGAATTCAGAAGGTTATTAGCCTACTCAAGGAGATATCAGAGAAAGGTAAGTTGATTGAAAACTAACTTAAAAAACTTAAAAAAAAAGACATCACTAAAAAATAACCAGTATTTAGGCAACAATTAGCATGATGAATAGAACAGTACCTCACATCATAACTTCTGGAAATGAAAGACATGCTTATGAATAAAATATATAGCATAAGGAAAACACAATCATAACTTCTGGAAATGAAAGACATGCTTAGAGAAATAAAAAATACAGTGGAAAGTTTCAACAAGAGTCTAGAAAAAGTAGAAGAAAAAACTTCAGAGCTCAAAGACAAGGCTTTCAAATTAACGCAATGCAACAAAGGCAAAGAAAAAAGAAAGAAAATGAACAAAGCCTTCAAAAAATTTGGGATTAAGTTAAATGGCCAAATCTAAGAATAACCGGTGTTCCTGAGGAGGAAAAAAAATTTTAGTTCAGAAAACTTATTTGAGGAAATAATTGGGGAAAACTTCTCTGGGCTTGCTAAAGATCTAGACAACCAAATACAGGAAGCTCAAAGAAAGAACTCCTGTGAAATTCTTCACAAAAAGATCATCAGCTAGGCACACAGTCATCAGGTTATCTAAAATCAAGACAAAAAAAAAATAATCTTAAGAGCAGTGAGGCAAAAAAATCAGGTAACCTATAAAGGAAAACCTATCAGATTAACAGCTGGTTTCTCAGCAGAAACCTTACAAGCCAGAAGAGAGTGGAGTCCTATCTTTATCCTCCTTAAACAAAATAATTGGCAGACAATTAGCCAAGAATTTTGTATCCAGCAAAACTAAGCTTCATAAATGAAAGTGAGATAAAGTCTTTTGCAGACAAAACAGGTGCTGAGAGAATTTGCCACTACCAAGAACCCTGACAAGAAATGCTCAAGGGAATTCTAAATGTTGAAACAAAACTTTGAAATACCCAAAAATAGAACTTCCTCAAAGCGTAAATCTCATAGGACCTACAAAACAGGAATACAATGAAAAAAAAATATCCAGTATTTAGGCAACAACTAGCATGATGAATAGAACAGTACCTCACATCTCAATACTAACTTTGAATGTAAATGGCCTCAATGATCCACTTAAAAGATACAGAATGGCAAAATGGATAGAAATCCACCAACCAAGTATCTGCTGTCTTTAAGAGACTCACCTAACACATAAGGAATCACATCAACTTAAGGTAAAGGGGTGGAAAAAGATATTCCACACAAATGGAACCTAAAAGTGAGCAGGAGTAGCTATTCTTACATCAGACAAAACAGCCTTTAAAGCAACAACAGTAAAAAAAGGACAAAGAGTGACATTATGTAAATATAAAAGGATTAGTTCAATAAGAAAATATCACAATCCTAAATATATATGCATCTGATACTGGAGCTCCAAAATTCATAAAACAGTTACTACCAGACCTAAGAAATGAGATAGATGACAACAAAGTAATAGTGGGAGACCTCAATACTCCACTGACAGCACCAGACATGTTATCATCAAGACAGAAAACCAACAATGAAACAACAGACTTAAACTATGCCTTAGAACTAATGGACTTAACATATATTTACAGAACATTCTACCCAACAACTCAAGTATACATTCTTTTCATCAGCATATGAAACATTCTTTAAGATTTACCATATGATAAGCCACAAAACAAGTCTCAATACATTTAAGAAAACTAAAATCATATCAAGTATCATCTCAGAGCACAGTGGAATAAAACTGGAAATTAACTCCAAAAGGAAGCCTCAAAACTAGACAAATATGTGGATATTAAATAATCTGCTCTTGAATAATCTTTGGATCAACAATGAAATCAAGATGGAAATTGAAAAATTCTTTGAACTGAATGATAATAGTGACACAACTTATCAAAACCTCTGGGATACAACAGAAGCAGTGCTAAGAGGAAAGTTCATAGCATTAAATGGCTACATCAAAAAGTCTGAAAGAGCACAAACAGACAACCTAATGTCACATCTCAAGAAACTAGAGAAACAGAAGCAAACCAAACCCAAACCCAACAGAAGAAAAACAATAACAAAGATCAGAGAAGAATGAAATGAAATTGAAACAAAAAAAGATATAAAAGCTAAATGAAACAAAAAGCTGGTTCTTCAAAAAGATAAACCAAATTAATAGACCATTAGCAAGATTAACCAAGAAGAAAAGAGAGAGAATCCAAATAAGCTCAACTGGAAATGAAATGGGAGATATTACAACTGATATC